TATGTATACTAAGCCTGAAGGTGGCGCTTTACTACGACGGCCATCTTGGATGGTACACATACATAACTCTGCATTGCTGCGCCATCTTGTCAGCACTCTAGTTGTTTAATAACTTTTAATGACGATCCATTGAGTATGGGATGCCAAACTACCAACAGACGTCTTCGCGCCGTTAAGCGCACACATTAGCGGAGATGGATTTACCTCCGGACTTAAGGTGACCGTCGGTCGACTCGTCGGCCGACGCAGTTGTTCCCAGTTGAAGTGTGAAACATAACATGTATAAACATTGATAACGAAAACAAAATATGCCTATCGATGTACTGAAACAGACTGAGAAACCACCCCCCCATGATACATAGGCCTATCATAATTTACCTGCAGTTTATCGGTGATGTGTTTGTTTACATTTTCCGGTTGAGTAGTTGATGGTTTTGCACAAACCCAGTCACCTTTCTGTCACACAAACAAAGATAAAGTTGTTAATTATTATTTGCATTCATTTTCATTAAACAGTGGCACTCACTTGGGCCTAACAATGTGATAAGTCTCAATGAGGCTAAGAGGGTGCAGTTTTTGAGAGGAAAATAGTGGTGTTTACGAGATTTAAAGAAGAGTCCTAAAATATCGAAACACTTCAATATTATTGTAATTAACTTACTAGAGGCCGACTTCCGGCAGGCATATTTTTGGGATATTTTTTTTAAGTATCAGAGAAGAAATTCATCTGTTCCTAGATCGAAAAACATATGAAAATGTTCTTTCTTGTTGGACAACTTTTAAAAAAAACGTATTCTTGAATACTTGAAATTTTCAACGATATTATTTTTATTATGATAAGGACGATCTTTATCAATTGACGGGAAGACAACTTACAGACCGACGGCAGTGACATCACCGGTTCACTTAAAAAGGACCGCCGATCGCGATCGAAGCGTTTGGTAAAGAAAGACGTTTTTTTTTAATGTGGTATGGTTCAACAGATAAACAAAACTATCACAATACGAAACAATTACTTATATTTCTAGTTTATTATGGTTTAATACAGATATTTTGAATAGTCAATTTTTGTTTGGTTTTACTTTTAGCTTAAATTGAATAATAGAACGAAAACATTGTTTCCTCGCCAACCGCATATCAATAATACCGTACCGTTCTAATCTTACAGACAATTAAACCATCTGACAGAAAATTCAATTATTTTCCGAGCAATAAGTCTTGAAATCAGTGAAAATCTAATTGTTTTGATCTCGGTCTTCTTAGTAGGCTAACTGATTGGTAACCTACAGTTTATCCTTTTAACGATCGATTAAATGCATTTATCAGAATTTAGAAGTATTTTTAATTCGTTTAACAGTTAAGAAGTATATTTTTTATTTCGCTTTAGTTGAACTCTTATATAGTTTGCTTTGTAATTGCTGGGAAGAAGAGCGCATAGAATTGGAATTTATAGGAGCAACAAAGAACGAATAACATACTGGTAATTTATTTAAAGCATGAGATGCTGGAGGAGAAATAGTTGATGAACTTGCAGCGGTTGTAGGCCTATCTGTTTCTGTGAGGTGCTGGTAATCATCATCATCACTAGGTACGTAGCTACTATCATCACTATCAAGGAACTCTTCTTTAGGGGCATCTTTCTTTGGACTAGTCCATTTTGATCCAGTCGATGGGGCTTTATTTAGCTTTCCGCTTTCCACAGATGATAATTCCTTTACATGGATCGTTTCATTGTGGACGATTGTTGCTTTCTTATCAATTTTAGCGACATAGTCAATCAAATCTAATTCAAATTCAGTAGTATCCACTATTTTTTGCTCTGAGAGAGTTTCACTCAACCAATTTGCTTTTACGAATTTGATGTTTTCTGAATGAGTGTATTTATTAAGATTCAAGATTCGGAAGACTCTCGCAGGGGTCATTTCTTCAGCTACTAATACATGACTCGTTTTTGGAGTTATTTCAGAGGTGACTTTCCCCCCATTTTTATGCACTTGTTTGGTAAATATATCGCACCTGGCTTTACCCATACCACTTCCGGCTTTCAATATGAACAGAAAAATTCCAGAAAGAAAACCAGATGAATAATCACCAGTGACTACATCATCTTTTTTAGTTTGTTGTTCAATTTCCATTTTTTTTATTTTTATCTTCTTTGTAAAACCTGCTCCTCCCGATAAATTTGACGACTTCCCTTTTGCCAAATCTTCCTCCCCATCAATGCGTTTTCTTTTATTTTTTTGTTTTGTGCTTTTAACAAACCCACAAGAAAACTCCATAATTAGATAAAGCTTCTATAGCCTATATAATAATATTGGTTAAGAAAATTATGTGGACAGACAACTACCACACCGTTAACTGTCGGTTCACATTTATTATAGGGCAATAGACCAAGGCCTGGTGTTGGCAGGCGAAAATATATGACTAATGCCTCAACAATCTCGTCATAAAGGCCTGCGATTTCTGAAATATAAAGAAAAAAGAACGCAAAACATTTAATAATATTCTGATAATGACCAACATGATAAATAAGTTCAATATGTAGGCATGAGCTTTAATTTTTTAGGCTTTTTGTCAGTTTGACAAAAAAATGATTGTGTACCCCATTTACCCACCCCCAACCCCAACCAAACCCAACCCCTTAGTAACCCCTCCTCCCATGGCGGCGATTGGAAACTATCGTACCTCCGCATATATCACACCCGACAATATAAATACATAATTATGTAAGAATATGTAAGTGTTGATAGTTGGCCTAGGCCTACGTATGTTTTTGCGATTTTGTAACTTTTTAGATGTTTTACGAAAGGATAACAGTCCATTCATTATTATTATTAACACTGCCTTCCTGCTTTTACACGGTATTTAGCTAGGCTAGACAATTAGCAGTTTAGAAAAATTAACAAGGGAGAAACACGTCACTTCTCCCTGGCCTGAACGAAATAAATACAAAGCTGTGCCTAGCTTAGTATAATAAACTCAAACCTAGGCTTTCTACAAACCTTTAGATCACTCAGCCATCAGATCTGAACAGGATCTTCTTTATTAATTGACGGAAAATATAAGAACTAAGAATTAGAGCCTAGGCCCCTGGGTTAAATTGATTTATTATCCAACTACTATTTGGTTGGTTGTAGGCTTGGTTGGGCCTAGCTAGCTACAATAGCTAGGCAGCTAAACCGATGAGTAAATACAGTATACTCTTGGCTTTGCGCGATCATCGACGATTGTCACAAAAGACGAGATAGGAAGTCGCCAATTTGTAGAGGTTGGTTGGTGTTAAGTTCATACTGGCGTATGTTATTGATAATCGGTATCTGTCAATTGATGAGTGTACATTTTATGATCTTGTTTTGTCAGATATTAAACATTTTGTGGAGCATTGCAATCTAAAGAAAAGGTATTTTGTGTTAAATCCTAGCTAGGCCCAGGTCAGGAAAAGGTCAATCTATCAATAGGCCTACCTGTCCACATAAGTTCCGTCCGCATACCCGGGCGAGGCCCGCCTAGACAGTGCTATCTTGGGCCTGGACTATAGGCTTAGCAATTGTTATTTAATATTAGTCTAGGCCTACACTACTTTCAATTACTGACCCTTGCAGGTGAAGTGACCCAAGTCTATTTTTAATTGCTCATTTTAATCAGAAACAGAGGCTCAATCATCATCATCATACATGATAAGGCCTGAGTGAGTGGCCTAGCTAGCTAGGCTAGTAGTAGAGTAGTAGTAGGCCTAGCCTGGCCCTAGACCTAAAAAGAATAGATTCAATACTGTATTTATTCATAATTTACTGTAGGCCTAACACAATTGAATATGCTAGGCCTAGCAGCAGCCCTATAATTTAATTTATTGACATTGGCATTATTAGAGGCCTGCATATAATGACACTCAATGTTAAAAATACTGTTACAGGAATTTTTCAGATTTTTTGAATTTAAAAATTTAGTGTAAAAATCAAGACCAAACTAAAACTGTTTTTTTTTTAATCTCCTTTTTTTTCTTTCCCCAGTGTGCTAGTGTTTCCACCGGTGCTTAGCCACTATCGGTTTTTAACTCATAAAATTGTTGAAGAAGAGTTTGCTGAGCTTGCTAGCTTCTCTATTGGTGAAGGTAACAACAGGCAGACTGTTGTCTGCTCCATTTATTTCAGGTGTGTTCCTATTTATACTTTATCCACTAGAAAACCCCTTGTTGTTGCAAGCGGACTCCGATAATCTCTAAAACTTAATAAAACAGCATCAAAATTTCAAGCATGCTAGAAATGTAAATGTATTTAAAATCACTTACTCATAAATAAAAAAATTATGCTTAAAAAAGAACAGCATTTCGGTTCTGTTTCTTAAAGTCATTCACAAGTTCAAGTAAAAATATTATGGAAAAACTCAAAAAGAAATGGAAAATTCTAAAAATTCAACATTAAAAAATTAGAATAATAATTGTATGAAAAATTATAATCAAATTCAGCTTTGCTCAAACAAATAGCTGTCTTCTCGAATTTCCTTTAATAAAGAAATAGGTAAATTTCAAAACTTAAATCCTTGATAATTGAAAGGATGCAAGTTGATAAAAAAAACACCACACATCTAGAAATAACAAATGATTTATTAAAAGATAAATTTTGAGATGCCAACATCATCATCAGTAAATAACAGAAAAAACGAAAATAAAACCCAGCCCTTTTCTTGTGCACTATATATACATGTAGATCATTATTATGCCGCATTAAAGTAATAATATACTCTGATTATCATTTGTTAAGTTGTATATGGAATGGTGTCTTTTTCTATTTTTTTTGATTTTTATAAAGTTGTATTGAAGTGATCTATTTATAATCATAATGTTAGTTCTTTGTGAGAGTCCAGATTCGGCTTGCTTTGTTAGCGGGGCTTTGCTTCCGCACTGGGGCTTTCTCAGGCTGGTGTGTCAGCTGACGACGTTATACCATGGTGTCATCAGTAGATTTGAGGCTTTTTTATAATGAAATCTAGTTATGATTTCTACCATTGTTCTCATTCTGCATTTCCCTATGTTGGAGTATCTTTAATATGATTTCTGTTAAATTGTTCTTTTGAATTTGTATATTACAGTATGTATGTAGGCCTAAGATAGTATAATACATACTCCAAGTATCGAAATGCATGCCATCGTGTCAGGATTCAATATTTCGACATTAATTATGTCATCATCAGGAATGTAGGCCTGTTATTATAAAATGTATAATTTTTTTTTTTTAAATTCATGTGAGATATTTATTTATTCAAATATATTCATTATTGCTACTGCAGGGGTATGCAGAGCGACTCAAAGTCAGTTTCTTCTGGAAAGAATGAAGTTAGCTCTAGATCTGAACCAAGTGACAGGCTTGCAAGGCCATCAAGAGGTAGGGGAAGAGGAAGAGGAAAGAAGATTTTAACTCATAGTGGAGAAGGAAATGATGTAAGGGTAGGCCACAGACAACAATACGAACAGCCAGTAGCATTATCCCACCAAAGGGATGCCAATGGAAAGCAAAGGAAACGAGATTTAGATAAAACATCAAGGTACGTCATAGTCATCTTTATGATTTTACAGTACACCTATTTATAAAGATTCAGATAACTTTATTGTCATAACACAAAATAAAATGCTGTCATAGAATTTTTTTTCCTTGTTGCGAAAGTGGCTAAGCCTCAATATTATTTTATTAATTCAATCAGTATAATATACAAAAGCACGAAAGTAAATGCAACTGCGTGCTGGCAGAGAACAAGGAACAGGTGTGAGGAACCTATACATTTTGTCACCGGTAACACATGACATAAACATAAAACATTACTCTAATTGTTGGATTTAAGAAACACTCTAATTTTCTTCTCTTTTTTTTTAGTTCTAGAAAATCACGAAAGCCTGATCAGGCTCTGTATGTGCCTCGATCTCTGAGGAATCAAGGAAACAAAGCAACAACTGTATCCAAAACTACAGAAACAGCAACAGAACTTGCAAATGAAATTGAAAGGCCGAGTAAAAGGTCACAAAAAGACCAGCATGAGCTGCCACACAAGAGACACATAGTGGACAATGAAACCCAAACGATAACAGCAGATCATATGGCATCAGTAATGGTGCAAAGTGGTGATGATAAACATGCAGAGATCTTGGGTGTAGCAGTGTTGGATAAAGAACACAAAGACCTCACTGATTCAATTAACGATGCAACATCTGATGATGCATTAGTGAGATTGGACCACTCAGATCATGATGATCATGAACCAAAAGAGAATGATCATCAAATACATAAAAATGATTTGACTACACAAGAATTTTCTTCTGTATCTGGAGAAGTTCAAACCACTGAAGGACCCCAGACCAATATTCCTTTTGCAATAGAGTTTGAGCCTCAAGAAATCTGCAGTATAGATCTTGCAGAAAAGGTGACCAAATCAACTGAGGAATCGCATTTGAATACTCAGGTATCACCCAGTATTTCTGTTAATGACGATGTTACCAAAAATACTGACACATTAGAGAATGAAAAGTCATCAACCAGTGATGATCATCATGGCAAAACCATAGCAGCATTTAAAGGTAATGTCGATGATGTGGATAATCTTTCAAAGTCTGTTGATCAAATTATTGAGCCATTTTACCAACAAAATGATCTTGATGAAGATCACAGTGCAATAGATGTTGAGACTCAATTACATATTGAAGAAAATACCGATGATATTTTTGAAAAAGGTGATGGTGAGCCTGATGATGGCAATGAACTGATTGAAGAGAGTATGGATATAGAAAAGGAGGACAATATAAATGAAGTGGATTTAGATATAAATATTGCCAACATGGAACCATCAACAGATAAGAGTAGCACAGCCATGGCAACTACTGACAGTGTGACAACTGGTGCTGGAGATGATGAAGAGGAAGATGGTTGGGAAGCTATGTTTGATGACTCAGGAGAAGCATTGACTTCTGATGCCATGGATGAGGTTAGTCATCTCTTTAAATGTATTAATTTTTTTTTTTAATTATGTGAAGAAGGATCAAAATCAATGGACATTTGAGGCATGTCGTGGCGAAATGGTTAAGTTGTCGCACAGGCCAGTATTGAGTAAATGAGCTATAAAATATGGGAGCTCAAAAAATTGCCTAAAAATCCAAATTTTTTTTTCACTATAGATCAACAGTTTAATGTTTGTCTCTTATACACATCTAGATGTGTATAAGATTGTTTATTTAATGTTATTTAGATAGTTAATTCTATTAAACAATGTATGAACAAATAACTTTGGAAGGCAATTACTCAAAATCATGTTTATCTTGACTCTAAGAGTGCCGTATTTTCACTTTTCAATAACTTAGGCTTGAAAAGTTCAATAACTTAGGCTTGAAAAGTCCAATTTCTATGAATGACTCCTCATTTTAAAGATAACATACTCAGGTATATGAAAATACCAATAACTTGAATTTCCAATTTTGCTACAACTTAGCCATTTTGCCACAACATGCCTCATTTGCCTTAAAAAAAGCATATTATATACAACAAAATTCGAGCCTAAGACTCTTTGGTTTGCATTCTCATCAAGATTTCTGATGCCATTGGAAAAGTCAAAGTTTCTGTCAAAAAGTCAAAGCAAGATTACTACAATTACCAACCAAAGGATAACTTTGATTATGGAAGTAAGTGCCATTTTATTCCTTAAAACCTCTGCTCATCTGTAATTTACCATATACAGTCTTTGGGTGTGACATGCAGTGACCCCAAGTCTCCTGTGAGTTAAACCAGATTTTTAGATGTAGGTTCTCCCAACTTATGACCCTAATCACTCTTACATCTAAGTGTGTATGAAGTTGTCCTTTAGATTGCCTACTAATTTGCAGTCAGTTACAAAACTTTCCATAATTTTAAGATTTCTTTTTTCAGGATTCAACCATGTGATTGAAATTTTTGACTTCCCGGTGGAATTCAGGACAGAAGATCTGATACAATCGTTTTCGGCCTACAGGTATTACAATATGTTTATGAATGCAATTTTGTATAATACATTAATACCAATGTTTCAATGCATTTATATATGTTCACTGGCGTATCTAGGAAACTTGGGGGTGCGAAGTTTACATGAGGTGGCACTAAAGTGCAAAAATTTTAACCTATTTTGAGTGTAATTTTTTTGCTTCAAACATTTCCAGTGGGGAGCATCTGGGGATGCAAGCTTTTTTGGGGGGGGTGTGGGGATGCACTTCCCAACACACCCCTAGATACCACACTTTTTGTATTAACCTGACCATTGGTTGCATAAGCAATCACACAATGTCCAATGATATATGTGAGGTCTCACTACAAAATGAGTCTCATCATTAGAAAATCAAATAAAATTGAGAAAATATTGAGTGTCTGGGTTCTATTCTAGAAATCATCATCTCTTTTCAACAATGAAAAAATACTGGAATATTTGATATAGATAGTTCATACACTGACTGCCTAATATGTTTTACATAAAAATAAATCCAAATATCTGAAGATAATAGAAAGCTTACCTGTTTGTATCAATTAAAACATCTCTGTATTATATAATTGTATTAACTTGATGATAGATTGATTGGGTAATATGTTGATTTATAATTGATTAATATTGATTGATTTCAGCATCAAAGGGTTTGATATAAAATGGGTGGACGACACACATGCTTTAGGAGTATTCCAATCTGTTTCAAGTGGTAGGTATACAATACAATTATCCACAATTAATATTCTGTTGAAATCCTACTCATCAATCCTCCTTTAGACTGTATAGATGCCTCAATGCCTGAACTCCCCACCCACCCTTTTCCATAGCCACAAGGCCTGAACCATTGCCACAAATCCTACTCTCAGGCACCACTTCTTTAAAGAACTGTTCAGCAAAAATTATGAGTATAAGTGTATAAAGAGTATGGTGACAGTGCAGTAATAATAAGTACTGTAGGAATTATTTTATTTAACTTATATCTGTTGACAGTCAGTGCTAACTTAATTTGTGCAGCCACAGTTGCATAACACCTATGAGGTGTCACTGCCTAAAACCTTGGTCCCTGGACCTTAAAGATGTATTGTCCCATGCAAAATACATACAAAATCCATTTTTGCAATTAACTTTAACATTTTGCAGTAACATAAAAATTATCAACTTGAACATAGAAATTAATGTATTTAAAAAATGTTTACCCAAGATTTTACAGCAAAAGTTTAAAAATCAGGGTACACATTTTTTTAATTCAATAAATGCTCAAGTTAATAATTTGTATGTTACTGCAAAATGAGCAAGTTAATTTCAAAATATTTTTTTATGATTTTGTCATTTCTCAAATGAGTTCTACCGGACGCTTTATTCATAATCATTCATTCAGAAAATGTAGCAATGGTTAGGCAAGACTTTTTTTATACCTCGTTTTGTGAACTTTTTTCAAAAGATCGTCAGAGAAGGGCAGAAAAAAAAAATAAAATTTTGGTTTTTTATTTAGCAAAGAGTTTTGCCAAAACATCGAGACAGAGGAGAAAATAAAATTTTATTGGTGAATGTAAACAGTGTAGTAATCGGAAGGTTAAATGCTTTAAATTTATATAATTCAGAAGAAATATACATAACTTATTTTTGGAGATTTCAATTTCAAGCGGCGGGTGTAATAAAAATAAAGAAAAAATTATATTTTTTTCTGATATTTCTACTTTTTCGTGGCAGCCGGTGTTCTAATTGGTCGAAATTAAAATTTTATTTGTATTTGAAATTATCATTATTGGCGGACGGTTGGTTTGCTAAAGAAGGTATAAAAATTGTCTCGCCTTACTGCCACTGTGATAAAATTGTGTTGCTCCTTTTAAACTCACATTCTTTGTATAATATTCTCTCGGTTGAAATTATTTTATTTTATATTTCTACAGCACAGAATGCATTAGGCTTACAAAACCCGATGCTCCGTACTCGCCCGCTGACCCAAGCAACGAGAGAGTCCAAACTTAAAGCTAGAACATTCGTGGACTTCCTGCAGCCAGCTAGGCCGAGGCCCGAAACGTCAGCTGTGACAGCCAGGAGATTAGTGTCTGGTGCACTTGGTATTAAATCACGGGAGAGTAAGGAACAGAGAGCCGCTGAAATGAAGAAACTCAAAGATGCCAAAGGTGGGAAATTCTACTTGTGGTTTTAACTTCTGCCATTTGAATTTTAATATTTATTCCAAATTATATGCATATCTTTTTAAATTTATAATGCTCAATTTTTTTATTTTTATTTCTCTGCAGAGAAAAGAAAAGTCGATAAGCGACTAACAGAAGATGTTTGGGAAGGAAATACTTGGCGACTGTGAATATAATTAAGAGCATTTTTCTATGCTAATAAGCAAGGTCGCCATTATACTCCTTGTTAATTTAAAAAGTGCTACGGCATGATGATGCCGTAGCACATCCATGGGGATGATGGTGTCATGCCATACACGTATGGAAAAATCACAGGAGAGCTATCCTAAATTTTTAGTGTTCACATCTTAAGTGTTTTATTTGCATTATGGCCTAAACAAATACTTCTCTTGGCTGCTGTGAGACAAAAGGGATATCCCTGTATGTCTCAGCTTTAAGCATTTCAATAGCAAAAATCATCTACAAATGTTGCTGGTTCAATTTCAGCAGGACCATAAACAATCAAATAAATGCTTCTCTCAAGTACAGTTGAACTTGCCTAAGTCGAATCCAAAATGACTTTAGTTAATGGAAAACACAACATGTAAAATAAGGTTGACTTAGAAATTATTTGAGTTATGCAAAGTCGACTTAAAGGCAAGTTTAACTGTGTGCACCGCTCTATAATAAACGCTGTACCTCTCAAAATGGCATTGAAATATATTTTATTTTTAATAAATCTTGTGGGGCTGAATTATTTCATGATTCATATCATGAGGATACTATTTCTTACACACTAATTTGCCACTGAGTGAATAGTACTACAAAATAAGCCTATGTACAATTAGGCCTACATGGTACCATTTTTGAATTACACTAATTCATGTTTATTAAGTGCTGCTCTAGATTAAGCACTGCTCTATAACTTGTATAAGTGATGCGGTGCTTATAGCACATGTACATTAATCTTTTTTTTTATTGCTTCACTTTACATTTAGATAATTACTTTTTGCTATAATATATATGTCTGCAATATTATTACATGCAGACTTTAATATTTATGGTGTATAAAAATTATTGTTGTAAATTATTTTTGCAATATTTGTAAATATAGAATCCGATTGTAAGATATTTTATTTAAATATTTGATATGGAAGTACTGTAGTAGTTTTCAAACAGATTACATTATTTTCAGCTCAAAGAGCAAAATAAGGTATTCTTTTATTGGTTTTTATTTATTGATATCTTTATTTAAATATATACAGTGGCGTCACTATGACGTATGGGGGCGCACTTCCCCAAACAACGTTTGCATTCCCACGCACCTAGACACTGGATATTTTGTAATCAAAAGAACACCACAAAAGTTTTAGGGAATTACCTCATTCTCATAGCTGGCAACATTTGTCTACAATTTTTTACCCAGAAAGTTGCAGTGTTGAAAATATTTCAAGGTTGCATCGTTTTGTAATTTGTAAATCAGATGTTTGTTTTAAGTGTTGCTGCTGTTTTATAATAAATGCTATTTTAAATGTTATGTAATTGTGACATCATTAGAATGTTATTGTTAAATGATTTACTGTGATATTTGTATGATGAAAAGATGTTTTATCCTGTATTGGAACGTGATATAAAAATAAAAATTTTTTTAGTATCAGAAAATATATTTTGTCAATTGTGCCCCAGTGTACTGGTCCATGCAGCCCCTGTTGTGGACACACGAGAGATATATCTGGTACCAGTTTACCAGATAGCTCAGACATGAAGAGACCCTTAGGGAGTACTCTTAGAGAGCAGCAATTTATTGTGCGAGGTAGTCTACAACTCGAGCACTTGAGACTGGTATAAAGCACTATGTAAATTGTATAATAAACTACATTACACTGAAGTCGTTTCGATTGCTCAGTATAGTAAAAGTAAACTCACTGTTACATGTCTAAAAACACATCATAAAACTAATTAAAATCACTTTTTTGCTCTTTTACATATTAAGGCTATTTCTTTTACAAAAGTCTGTATGTGCCCGAGACGATACTGAGGGCAGATAGACTGATGGTAAGCAAACAATAGGCCTCTAAATATATACAGTAATACCATTACATTATTTTCTGGGGATGATCTGGCATTTTAGTAGTTGAGCAGCGTATTCTGAAGGTCATTGAGTGTGTATAATATACAAATACTGTACGAACCGCGTCACCGAATGAAAAAATGCACAATGACTTGAATGAGTTTAATGCGTGTCAGATACTTATGGGGTGCCATACGCAGCGAAAAATGATTCCCCCATCATTAATGGAACAGGCCCACGTCATGCTTGGCTGATTCGTTTTGATGTACATTTCGCAAATCTAGTGCCATACGCAGCAAAAGTCCGTTTCTAGTGTTGTCAAATGCATTTCATAACCAGGCTGGTTTTTGATTTACGTTTTGGAATAGAATTTGGAGAGGGCGTTTGATCAAGTCAGACCTACGTTTTGAATTTGAATTACATTTTAAAGAAATTAGAACTACATTTAGATAGAACTTCATTTTGGGAAACCAGATCTACATTTTGAGAAATTTACGCCTACGTTTTGATAAATTAGACATTGAATTTTGCAATTACATTTTGATTTTAACATGGACTTTTGCTGCGTATGGCACCCCATACTATAAAGTGTTTTCCTACATTTACGATTTTTGCTACGACAGAGCACGATTTTTCAATTTTGAAAAATCGCAATGGCGTCGTCGTAAATGATCGTGGTCAAAAATAATTCATCGTATTGCATCATATTGGATCTTGATGTCATCGTGATGGAGCACGATTTTTTTGGAATGTTCAAAAAAATCGTGCTCAATCGTAGCCGTGAAAAAGATCTTGGTTTACCGCAGTGACATCGTGTGAGTGGCGTAACGTTGTCGTCGTTCGTCGTGACTGTGTCTATCGTTATAATTCGTAAAAAATGTCGTCGCACTATCGCATTAGTGCCGTAATACATCTTGACGGCGTCCTAGTAGCGTCTTGATGAAACATAAAACTTGAACTTTTTGAGTACGAATCACTACGATAGAGCGCGATTTTAAAACATTTTGAAATCGTTCCCATCGTAGCAAAAATCGTGAATGTGGGAAAGGGCCAATTGAGACTAATTTAAAACTTGTACAGTATATATAAGAAGGCCTATAAGAAGAATACATTTGTAATTTTGCCTGTATTTATTCGATCAATACACATTTACAATAGGTACAATGCAAAGTTTTACTATAACTCGTTTTGAGTCAGCTGCCCTATGCCACCTATTTATGATACGGTTAAAACATTTTAGGTTACTAAATTGAGAGTTATTTGTAATTACTATACTATAATACTGGAACTAATAACTAGTAATTATCTTTTAAACTGCTGATAGGCGGCTGACAAACATCATTGTCTCTACAAATCTGAAAGTATAAATAATAATGCTGTTAATGTAAATACAGTATACTATTATTATCATCATCATTATTATTAATACTATTAGACTATTAGATTATTATTGGATGATTTATTGTTGTTAAATATTATTATTACATATTATTAATATTTTACTTTATAGTAGTAATCATTAACATTAGCAATATTATTGCCATCATCGTTGTCGTCGTTAATTAACCACCATGGAGGTTATGTATTCAACCCTGTCTGTCTGTCCGTCGGTCGGTCGGTCGGTCTGTCTGTCGGTCGGTCGGTCGGTCTGCTTCAAAAAGGAATGGATCATCTTAACAAATTTAGTGGAGTGGTACATGATAATAGAATAAAGATATATTTTGGAAGAAAAGGTCAAGGGACAGGGTCAAGGTCACTGAAATTCATTTTTTTTAAACTTGCCCTCGAGCATTAAAGGAAAAAATGGAATCGCCCATACACGATGTACCTGCGTGTTGTTCGGTATCCAGGCACAGGGTGGAAGTGCCACACTCTATGCAGTGACTGCTCTAGTTATTGTTGGATTAATATCATTGTATTAAATTATTTTATCATTATGATTATTATTATTATTAGGCCTATAATCATTATCATTAGCATTCTTAATTATCATCGTCGACATCACATCAACTTTATCAACATCTAATTATCATCATATTTATTATTATTATTATTATTACCATTATTATGATATTGTATGATTATTATTACAAATAGATTACCATTGTTTCTGGATTATTATTATTATTATTATTATTATTATTATTATTATTATTATTTCATGTTATTATTAATATTATTATCTTTTTCATGACGGATTATTATTATTATTATTATTGCTCTAAATGGAACTGAAACATTATCGTCGAAATATTTGTAATAACGTGTTACTCGGCCTACCTGACAATTTGCAAGTTGACACGGCGCTCACCGGACTCGCTGGGCCAGACACTACAAGTCCGTCAACCTTCTTCAAGCACCTTAAAACTACACTGTATTGCTTTCCTGGTTTGAGTTTGGCCAAAAGAAAGTCAGTGGCTGTTGTGGTGCCAGCCAATGTGTAGTCACCATTGGTAGAATCCTTGTAGAATATCTCATATGATATAACAGGACCAGTCCCAAAGTCTCGACCAAATATCCAATCAAACCAGCTTACAGAGATCTCTCTGCGATTTTTCGATACCGACAACATTGGGCCATGCATAAGGTGCGGTAGGGCTGCAATAGGAAATAAAGATTTTGTATATTAATAGGGAGATTTTTCATATGATCGTTGATTCATATAAAAGGCAGGTGGCCTACGTTGCGTTTTGAAAGATATGCCATGTTAGGGGATGGTTTGACTTAAAATTTGATGATGAAAATCGGCTACTGTCAGGCTAAATTATCGGATTTATCAAATGCCTGGTTCAATCTAACTGTTAATTGATTTCCTGCTCAGAATGGGGTTAAGGCTAAAATCCAAGCAAGAAATTACTTTTTTATAAGCATTGGTCCCTTGGTTTTTATATTTAGGTCTAACTAGGTGTTATTTTTCATCGCAGCAAAATGCAGTTCTCCATCAAACCTAGAAGTAATTTTACCTATTTGGCAGTCCTGTCCAGCCCATTCGTCACCACAAACATCATCTGTGCAGGTACCGTTACTAAGGCATGATTCTTCGTACTTACAATGACAGTGACGATTACAAAGAGGTCCAAACGTACCATTTGAGCATGATACCTTCGTGTGTTCTGAAAATAGAAATGTTTGTATTTTCTTTTTGACATATTCAATGTAAATGCCGTTTATTACGAATTGTGTTTAAACTATTGCACAGAAGGTAAAGCTGAAGGTGATTTATAGCGCATTAATACGGTATCTATGCGCGCGCCCCAACTAACTCTCTACTCCCTGAGTCCCACGGGTCTCACTGATTCTGGTGCTGCCATTAGTCTTTGCTACCACTTGAACCCACGACCATGGAGTATTTCCGATGTTAGCTTCTGGCTTGGTCACTCGACTCACTAGAACTCGAATAGACCTACCTTGGCATTGAGGTCCACCGTATCCTGTAAGGCAAGAGCCAGTGGAGCATCCTGAAACAGGATCACAACTGGATGATGGGCAGTTACAAACTTGTTTACAGTCTGCACCATGAAAGCCTTTACTACAAACTACAAGAGAAAACGTTTGTATTAAAAGATTTCAACGGCGATTGATATTGCTCCTATATTATGTCTGACTCTACTACAGTACAACTGCTGCTTCTGTTATATACTGATTCAGTGGTGGAACGCGTGCAACAGCATCCCACTCCCCCCCCCCCCCCCAGCCATCTACCTGTCTCTCCCCCCAGCCATCTACAACATATTGTTTTGGCAATCGAGGTTCAGTATCAGCAGAAAAGAATCTGTAGGCAAAAATCATCACAAAATGTTTTGGCCGAACACAACTAAGATTGGGCCAAATAATCTGTGGATACCTAGCGGCTAAAAATGATGATAATGTCAGTTTGGTGCCAATAAAGTAAGATAGTCAAGGAGGAAAGTCTCTGAAATAGTATACCAGAAAGCAGTCCATGAGAGTGGTCGTATGTAGGCCCACTGTTTAAAAGCAAGGAGGTATTAAATCCTTGGTAATAAGTACTGATAAGCCTATATTTCTGCATAGCTGAAACCTCAGGTCAAATTTAATCTTATAGTGGAAGAAAGTTGTGCTTTCTTAATTATATAACCTAAAGCTCTGTCCAAATTGTCAAATTTTTCTTGACAGAAAACTGTTGTCTGCCCATTTGAGTACATCTTCGGTCTGTTTTTATCAAAATAATGCTAAATTAAAAATAACACCAATATTCTACCTGTTCACTGGTATTTGATATCATTAACAACAAGAAGTCATATTATTTTGTAAAAACACCAAAATTACTATTTTCATATAGTTTCCTACTTCGGGAAGAGGAACTAATTTACCAAAACTAAGTGTTTACCTTTATTACAGCCAAGTCCATGAAACCCAGGTAAACAGGAACATCCAAGAGGGGTTGCTGGACAAAATAAGTTGCCTAGGCACCCGCTCTCTTCGTTATTGCAGTTGAATGAACAATCTCGCCCCCAGTAACCAGCTTTACATACTGTCAACAAAAGGTAAGAAAAACATGACTACATTAATTAATGAAACACACAAACTGGAAATTTGTATTTGTATTTGTATTTAAATTACAGTCAAACAAGTTCTACCAATCAACACCTCAAATTTAATGTAAACACGTGGGATCTGCAGGGGCGGATCCAGTTAGGGTGGAGCCACCTCCACCAGTCAACACCTCGAATTTACGTAAGCACGTCGGACCAACAGGGTCGGATCCAGTAAGGGGGATTGTGGACAGATCAACAAGGGCAGATCCGGTGGGGTGGTTGGGCACGTCTCCCCGTTTTGCCACTATTTTTTGAAATTTCAATGCATATTGTGCTACTCACTTATCCAATCTGAAACTGTTGTGGGGCCCCCTCCCCCTTTCAGTTAGAACAATTCTGGATCCACCATTCATCAAACTGGGCAATAATTCCTCACAAGGACTACCCAGCAAAAACACTCATCTACAAAGACATTGTCTACAAAGATATCCTTTAGAAAAATAATAACATGCTAACGATAACATCCACAACGAATACCTCCTTGATTTCCCATCACATTAAACAATATACATCCCCACCTTTCCCCATTCATTCAACACCGTGTGGAGCACGGGTATATGCAAATGATGATGATTATTATTATTATTATTATTATTATTATTATTATTATTATTATTATTATTATTATCATTATTATTATCATTATCATTATTATCATTATTATTATCATTATCATTATCATTATTATTAATTTTATTATTATTATTAATTTTATTATTATTATTATTATTATCATTATTATCATTATCATTATTATTAATTTTATTATTATTATTTATATTATTATTATTATTATTATTATTGTTATTAATAATAAAAATGAAATATTTATACTTACCCTCTGAACAGTCAGATCCGGTAAAACCACTTGGACAAATACATAAGGAAGTTACAGCGTCACATACACCCCCGTTGTAACAAACTGGACAGTCTAGATCACAAGCAGGTCCGTGTTTACTCAATGGACATTCTGAAAAATTAGGACCATAATTAGCATGTTGAATCTGTAGTAATATTTAAAAATCCGACAACTCAATCAGTCAGCCAACCAACAATTAATCCATCAATCAATCATAATCCTAATTCGTCTAGTTATTAAAACAAATGTAAATGTATCTTAGTATTTTGTCCTAAACTTAATGGTTGTCCTTAACAAAAGTATAACCAAATAATTATACGATATTAATAGATCAATTTGTAGTGTAACTGATTGGTAAAAATGGGTTCTTGAATTTGCATTTTGGTAAGAAGGTGAGAGGAAGTAGGCCCAAGTCCCCAAAGTAGGCCTAAAATCTTCAAATCGCTTTGTATCCAATGAATATTAAATTGTAACTGAACTTAACACTTGCGTCTATAAACTTTACAGTGTATTTAAATAGGATAATACGGTTGTTGTAACATCATCTCTGAAACATCAAGGAATGTATCTTATGTTGGGAAGAATGTGAATGCTGTTTGTTATGATACCGTATATTGGGTACATTGCTTAACATAATTAAAAATGAAATCAATGAAACTACCTTTAACGTTAAGCTGAATTATCGCATGGGTTCCAGAATTTCGTTTCCCGTAAATGTAGCATTCATAAATCCCGATGTCTTTAGTTGTGGCATGTTCTATGATCACCGTCCTCTTGTTGTTCCATTGCTTCATTACTGTACCACCGTTGAATCGCCACCTCAATTCAGTCGTGTTGCCCTCAACGATGACAGATAGGACAGCCCTGTCACCAGTCCCTGCTACAATTGATCTTTCAATAGGCATTGGGTTTGCTGAAATGCATATAGAAATTAGTATATTATGAGGACACTCACACCTAAAGCCCAACACGATTTGAGCAAAATTGAAGAAAATGCTCCTCTGGTTGCCCGAAAATGGCACTCTTAGATTGTCAAATTGTGTTTTTGTTGGTTTTTTTTTTTTTTTTTTTTTTCATAGCATTGCATTCCGACGAATATGGACTTTTTCACCGACGGATAATTGTGTGGGAGTCGTCCAGATTTTACCGATGGGGTAATGTATTCCTGGACCGCCCGCCGACATTTTGATAACATTTGGTTTATTATATTTGTTATCAATTTCATCTGAAAGCCTTAATCTATTTAACGTCTAATCATCTATTCTAGTTTATTATCAGATTTAAATTTGTATATAATGCAAAAAGTAACATGACCAACACATTAAAATATATATTACCATCTTTGTCTAAAACGATTACTGTAGACTTGCTCGGCAATGCCCATGTCCCTAGACTTTCAGCCGAAAATGCGCCACCTTTGGCCATAGGCCTATACGAATCTCCCGGAATCTTAGCGATGAGAGCATGGAAATCGTATTCAACTATGGTTTCGATCAGTGTATTTTTCGGAAAAGCCATGGTTGGTAGAACGTGTGACCCTGGGAAACTACTTCCATCAAACCACGACACTGGCCGTCCAGTATTCCCAGTACCAGTATCACAAGTACGTCCCAGCTGTATGCTCGTGGAGAGGGCACCCGGATAAACAGCAATGTCTACATCATCCGTTTTATTGTCAGAATCAACAACTGCAGGTTGTGCCATTAATGTTACTTCAACACTCTCGTCTTCCAAGAAAATATTTGATATTTTTTGTTAACATCCAAATCAATTGATTTAATAGCATAAGTAATAAGTATCAATAATTTTTTGAATAAACTCTACTTAGCTACTCCACTTTACTTACAATTGCAGGCCATGTCATGATATACACCTGGACTTGGTCTTCCTCCTACAATCTCACCAGAAATGTTAGTATACACTCGAATGTACATTTCATATCTTCTGCAAGGATTTATCTGATTCAAAATTAGTTTCGTTCCCATGGTATATTCGCCAGTTCGCTGTGCGCCAAGAGAAGGCGTTATATATCGATAAAACAAACGATACCCTGTAACGTCACCTAGACCATAGTCGTAATGGAACCTCCATTCATCCCACTCAAGATGAAGACTGTGGAAATTAGACTTTAAAATGCGAGGAGGATTACGAAGAGCAGGGATTGCTATATATGAAACACAGAGAAACACCATTGTTTACATACACATTATTGTTATTTTTCACTTCACATTAAATAGCGAACTACTACTATCGGTTGATAGAAAAAAAAATCAACCGATATATGAACTTATAAATACAAGTAATATAAAGATAAAGATAATTTATCGAATAACAAAAGATTGAAAATTAAAATAGCCCTGTACTAGAAAATGGGTGATTCCAGCTAAATTTTTTATAATACGTGATAGTACAGTTTGTTGTACAAAGCGTTTATTGTAGAACTATGAGAACGTAATTTCAATAAAATAACGTTGCAATGTTGCTACAACGTTAAGTAATATTTACAATTAATTAATTATCATTCTCATAATTCTAATTATAATTGGTCCATTAAGTCTATTACTGTAAAATAAGTAACGTTATAGGTTTACCGAATTGACAATCATCGCCTCCCCAGCCTTCCTGGCATGCAATAGGGCATGTTCCATTCTTGTAGCATCCTACCGTGCCAGTACAGTGGCATCTATATTGACATAATGTACCATAGAAACCATCGGGACACGGTGTCGAATCCTCGTATTCTGCAATAAAATAAGTTAGCCTAACTTTATTCACATACCATATTCATTTTCACGCAAATCCAGAATATTAATAATGACCCCTCCGTCAATTACAGTTAGGCCCCTATTGCAATGTCATTATTGAAAATGTGTTTGCTGTAAAGACGATAAAGGGGACAATTTACGGTCGTCTTTAGTAGAATCATAAATGCATCAATATCAGATATAATGTAGGCCTAAGCTTCTGTGAAAGTTATTTATCAGTGGCGCAACGCTGGGGCCGAGAGCCCTGTGACTTTCTGAGACCGGGGCCCTTTTTCGGTCACCGTCGAAAATTCCATTGTGGGATTTAGATGTTGGTTTATGTGATTATTAATCATGTTTGTTATTGTATTATAATCGTTTTGTAACGACGAAATAAATAATGACATCAGTGGCGGATCTAGTAGGAATTTGAAAGAGGGGGCGGTATAGATGGACCATACCACCTCAGCACGACCATGGTTGGGGGCTTAAGTAAGAAATTGTATGATTATGGCACCTCTAGGTGGCCAGAAATGGCACTCACAGGCTTAATTAAACTATAATTTTCTTTTATCTCCATTTTTATTGGGGCACCTTTAATTCGTCACTGGATATGATATGTCCTTCACAGTCGACGTCAGAGACATATTGCTGTTATGTATCAACAAGCTTTTTTGAGTCAGGGTGCTAGAGTCGGGGCCCTGCTTACCACCACACTAGAGCGCATAGGCGTTACGTACGCTACTGATATTTATTTTTTTTTAAATCTTCCCGATGATAGATCTTAAATTGGTTGCAAACGGCACAAAATTGTTTAATAATGGCAGCAAAAGCGAAGTACAGTAATATCATACAAAGTGATCTCAAGGTAACGGGTTGGTAAAAACGATGGGAAGTAAAACCATGTTCAAATTTCGAAGTTCTAAGTAATTTATCCGGAGGAAAACAGTTTGTTCTCACTTTATACTATCTGGCTTTTTCAACCCTCACTCACTCGCTCTCAGTTTATGATTGTAAGTAGCCAGACTCGCCATTTGAAGAGAATGAAATCAATCAGCCAGAGACAGGCGATCAATCCGTTGCTGTATTGAGGTCGAATTCTTATGGAAATCATCATTCACAACTCTTAACAATTTACTTGTATTCGTCAAATACCTTGGCATTGCGGTCCCGTGAAACCCTCTTCACACGTAACATTCACACATCCCATCGACCTGCTGCACGCACTGAATTTGCAATGGCACGTGCTTCTACAGTCTGCACCAAATGTCCCGTATGGACATACTGAAAATAATAGTCAACGAGACGAGAACGTTAATTCAAAGGCATGAAAAAAGTTTATGATTGCTCTATATAATAATAATAATAATAATAATAATAATAATAATAATAATAATAATAATAATAATAATAATAATAATGAAATAATAAAACTTTATGAAAACGCCTAAAGTGATGACTTTCTCAATTGTGTCAGCTGCATTTTGATTGTAATGGAAACGCTGTCGGTAGGCATAAAATTTATATTATTGATTTTATGAAAACCAGACTTTACAAGCTTTCCAAGACTTGTTTTCACTTCTATGCTACTGTATTGTATGATATTATATGGCTTAGGTCTACCAAATATAATTCTCACTTAATGACGTATTGTCTGTCACAAAAATAACACTCAAATGAACAGCTCTGTCAAAGGGATCAAATAAGTTAATTAAAGTTACAACCAGAAAAAATGGAAAAAAATTCTCTGGTTTTACAGACGTTTTACTACCAATAAAGAATACAGGAAAGGTAGTATTTAACTGTTGATTGACAGTGATTTTTTTTTTTCAAATTTTAATTTACTTACGTAAATATAAAAATTAGTCAACTCTCATTTATCTTCTTTTTTAATCTCATGACAAACAGTACGGGCAAACAGAGAATTCAGAATGACTTGCCTTTTAATATTAGGTAGGCCTATTTAAAAGTAATTGAAAGTATTTTTTAAGTAGTTACAAGTTAAGGCACCTTCCCGTTCTTTTAACTTCTGTAACTTTTTTTCTCATTCGTCTATTCTTATTTGAATTTTTTATGGTTATCGCCCAGACCATAATGCAAAACATAATCCTAATTACAGCATAATTATTGTTTACATACTATTATGCCCTGTAAATGTAGCTATTAATCATGATAAACTGTATATTACATATTTAATTTATAATACCATATTTGTGTAATTGTAAAAAATATAGTCGTACATTGTTCACAGTTATATCCTTTGTATCCAGCCATACACGAACAACCCATCGGTTCTGGTAAACAAAACAAAATTCCATCACACCCTCTATATGAACTGCTACACGCTACAGAACAGGATCGTCCCCAGCTATTATCCCCACACGCTGAAAATATAGTAGATTCATTTCAACATGCCTTTTTTGTTATTTATTTAATTGTTATTTGTTATTTGGCAGGCAACACAGGTACACAAATTACACTCCTGGTTGGAGAGAAGCAACGCAGATGAAGTGCCTTGCTCAAGGACACAAGTGGGGGGTTGAAACCACTATCCTCGCTTGGGAAACCAAACCGTTCCCGCTGCACCAAAAAACCGCTTATATATTAACTGTTCAGAAATTACAATTTTCCCTAAAACGTATTCGGATTTTTGTTTGAGAACAGGGTGTAAAGTGTAAAAACACCTTTTGTGTATTGTATTTGGAGATTGTTGCATTGTTTCAAAATACAATTGAAATAAAAAATAAAAAATAAGGAGATTTTTATGATAATAAATTTGAAAGTTTTCAATATATTTTTTGGAAAAAAGGTTAGATTAGAGCAAAGAGTAACTCATGATTGTATCGAACAATCTAAAATGACAAAGAAACTCAATGTCTGCGACCAGAGGTTTATAGGGTATACGAACCTTTTATTTTTATCCCTAATTTTACACATTAAAAAAAATTTGCATATGAAAAACAACACCGAAAGTAGACCATAATTTCCACAAAATGTCATTGAGCATATGAACGTAAAACAGTAAAAAATCTGAGTTTGCAAAATGTTTTCGATTAGTTCTACACTTTTTTACCAATCAGATAAGTTGAACATGAATAATAATGACAACACAACAACAGCAGCAGCAACAACAGCAACAGCTACAGCAAAAACAACACAAATAATGATAATATATTAATGTCTATACATACGTTCATCGCAATTGTCTCCCATGTACCCAGAAGGACAAACACATGCCCCTGTAGCTGGATGGCATACTCCTCCATTGTAGCAAACTGGGCAGTCGTTGTCACACTTGACTCCCCATTTAGGTAACGGACAACCTAAATGGTATAACGTTCATTATTACAATTATTTAAAAAAATAAGAGAAAAATATGATAGAAGAAAAAAGACGAATATAATGGATTGGGTTGGGTGCAGAGTATTGCATAGAGGCAGACAGGGAAGCGGATAGACGAAAGTTTTAGGAGCATTACTTTAAGAAGTTAGTGATGATTTTGTAAAAATGCGTTTCTCTTGCAGTGGATTTTAACAGCTTGATCGTAAGATAGAAAATGAGGCTAATCATACACACTACCTACTGAAAAACATAAACTCTGCTTCTTCTGTGAACGTAGGAAAAAAGTATTCATATTAATTATTTTGGTGAGTTTCCTTTTTCAAACAACAGGCATAGGCCTATGTTATTTTTAATAAATAATTTGGAATTGATTATGGCATTACAGTAAGTATTTATATAATTTATGTATGTTGTTGCAATACAGGAAAGGGGAAATTATTTGAGGAAAAACGCTTAAGTATACCTCTTACAATGAGTTGAGTGAAACCCTGGAGTCCTAACTCTTTTTCACCATCAAAATAACACTCATAAATTCCCCCGTCTTGAGTGCGAGCACTGTCAATAATTAGTTTAGTCTTGCCATTCCAGTCACTCAATATTTCTCCACTATTATGACGCCAACGAAGTTTGTCGATGTTCATATTATCTTCAATTTCCATCAAAAGTTCTACTCGTTCACCAACGCCTGCGATTGTCGTTGTCCTCTTCGAACGAACGTTTGCTACCGTTTTATAAGAATAAATACAATTTCTAAGAGTGTGTATAAGTCTAAAGTTATACTTATTTGTTACGAAGTTAGGGAAAATTAAAAATCAATTAAAAAACATCTTACTTAAAAGAATCGCATAAGTTATTTACAGTACTTCCAATTATAGCATTTCACAACAATACAATTTTTGCTACTTCAGACTTTTTACTACAAAAATGTTTTTAACAAATTGTGGCTCACGTAAAGTTTAGAACGGTAATATTTATAATCCGTCCGTTAATTTACGATCAGTGGTGGAGCCAGTGGGAGGGGGAATTTGCCCTCCCTTCGGACAGGTCTGGAACCGCTGCCGTCCGATGCCACTATTAGATCGTCTGGTCAAAAATTTAGAAAATAATAATTTTCCTACCAAATAACGTTATTTTAATTCCTAATCCCTAATATTGTGGTCTAAAAGCACAATTTGGACCATACTAAGCCATACTCTCCCAGTGAACCTACCAGGGATTTTTTATTTCGGGCCGTCGACTGAGGCTCTAGTGGCCTCTTGGTTTGAACCCCTCCGTCGGACATGTTGGACCCCTTGTTGGCAATTTTCTGGCGCCACTGCTGTTAACGATATTAATACGAATTATTACGAAGTATATTTTTAATGGCAATCTTCATCTCTAAACTGTTCACTCATGGCCACATTTGAATACAGCCAACCACAGACTGGATACCTATGGAGAATTCATTTACCTGTTAATCAACCAAAATACAAATATGCCTGTAGATGAGCTTAATATTTAAGTCAATTAAATGTTATTGAACATCGATCAACAAAGTATCTTATATACCTTCTTTTGAAATGGTAAAGGTTGTAATATTTGAATTTAGCAGTCCAGTTGTAGACCAAGAGTAAAACGCGCCAATGCTTTCTGCGCTGCTATTATCGGGTAAATGCAACAACATAGCTGTGACGTCATGCCGTATAATCTGTGATATTGTACTTTCTATAGGAAACATGCTATCCTTCGTTGACAAGACACCATCGTCTAGCCAGCCTAACTCTCTGCCATTGACAGCAGTTCCGCTATGATGTCGACGTCCAAAATTGATGTTGTTACTTTTGCATTCGCCGATGGTGTAACCTCCTATGTTAAGACTGGATACGGCGTTGCCAAACGCTATCATAGGGTTAAAGTTCAGTAGCACAAAATCCATTTCAGTTCCTGAAATATCAGAAATTGACAACATCAACTTGATTAAGGTTACATACATGATACAACCTTCAATTTGGCATACATTGATGTTTTGTTTTCATTACAGTGAACTTGTATATAATATGCATAAAAGCAAATTAAAGGATTCCAAAACTAAACTATTGCATGGTTTCCACAGAACATACATATTGACAATTTCGATGATAATCCTTTAAGTTTTCAAAATAATAATTATAATAATAAAAATGAGGTTTTCATAAGCTACTGAAACAAGTCATATATATAACATAACAAGATAATCTGAGATTACAAATCCTCGCCCTGTTGCGCCATCTATACTGAAAAAATAATGGCATCTAATTGCACGCCGGCCGGACCGCTTCATTATAGGCCTCGCTTGGCAAGCCCATCGACCTCCGCCTCATCCCACTTTGCAATTTATCTCAGACTTTTTAAACTCTTTTAGAACAATATTCTTCTTCAAATCTTGTCATTACCGACGACTTCAACATCCATATGGACGATCCGAGTAATACACATACTACTTTCCTGGATATAATTCATTCACTCAACTGATAAATACTTCTAATCACAAACGAGGACATACACGTTATCTCGTCTTTACAAATAATCCTGATCTTGTGAGACTTTCACTGGTTCACGAATATCCCTTGTTTGATCATTTCTTTCTTCATGTTACACTCGATGCTCTCAAACCTCGGCCTGCCAAGAAAGTTGTGACTTTTAGAAATTTCACAACATTGACATCAACAATCCTTGATCGAAGAACATGCTCATTCTCTTTCAAATTCTAGTGATGACATAGATGTGAACAATGCAATAACCCAGTACAATAATACACTTACCTTACTTAAAGATGAGCTGGCCTCGTTAAAATTTAAGACCGTTTCAACTCATGCATCCTCTGCTTGGTTCACCAACAACTGTAGGACAGCTAAGCAAGCAAGACCTACAGCTGAAGATTCAATGCCATATTTACCATAGTACGCTTGATGAATCTCGGGTTTCTTACCTCCATCGGAAGTGGAAGTGACCAGAGAGCTCTATTCAAACTTTCCAACAACAAAGGACAGCTGTGGCAGACTTACCATCTGAGGGTTGGCGCCAGGATTTGACCGACGGGGGGGAG